TTTGTGCGGATTGGTGGAGATCTAGTCCAAAAGTGAGTATAAAATTTTTTTCATATACTTTTTTATTGCAATCGACCTTCTTTAGGTTCTTAACATGTGCCGAACGGAACACTTTGCAAGATAAGGAAACTTGTGGCACTCTTTGTGGAACAATAGTGCGCAAAATCAACACTTGTTTGTTGATTCTAAAACCGCATAAAAGCTTGTTTTTTTTTCAGGAAAGAGATGATTTTGTTGTTTCGCACGTCATAGTTCCGAAGCAGTGTGGGGCTTCAGATGGCTGTCAAGCGGAAGGAGAGGAAGATGTAGGCTATCCTTATATTCGCAGCAAATAATTTAAACTGAATCTTATTCATAGCATCTTATTCACAGGTTTTCGCATATCAGAACAAACATGACCTTCTAACTATTGGCTGGATCCACACACACCCAAGTCAAACGGCTTTCCTTTCATCTGTTGATCTTCATACTCACTGTTCCTATCAAATGATGCTAAGCGAAGCAGTAGCCATAGTGTGTGCACCATCTCATAATCAGTAAGTTTCTTTAGAGCCTTTCATATGTGCGATAGTGCTTGATAATAGGCTTGTCATTTTGAATCGTCTTTTCACACAAAGAGTTTTCTTTAGAGTCGGTACATTTGTGATGACATCCTACGGCATGGGTGTTGTGGAGAGTTGTACCGAGACCGGATTCCATCTCCATCCGGAAGCGGAGAAGTTATTTTTGGAGGCCAGCCACGTGAAATATTGTTCAAATTTGACGACCAAAATTGTAGATATGAGGAAATGAGGTACTAAATGAATACATCTTACATTTATCCCATAACATTGTTTGCGGGAACGAGAGAATAAGGCGGGTCTCAGCAAACAGTCGCAGACCTATAGCATTCTGTTTTTCGCCAAGAGGAAGGGGAAATGTAAATGTATCTTGCAGTAAATTTCAAGGGTTAGATTCAGAAAGTAAACTTCAAACCACTATGACACACTTTCTGTTAGGAATAATTTTTAAATTGTGCGTAGTGGAAGTAAATAGGAAAACAAGTACTTTCGACTGTCTATGCAGCGAAGTTTGTTGAAGTAGATGGAAGATATTTACTGTATCTGATGTTCACATCAGTTATTCATTTTAGGCATCGCTCCTGAGATCTAAGTCACACCACATGCTCTGATCATTTCATACTGTAATAACACTTCATATACAGAAATAGCTGCTGTTAGAAGGTGATCTCATACGCTGGTTATTTTTGTGGTTTTAGAGCTCTTAATATTATGGCCCTTTTTTATGTTTCAGTTTGTGTCACAGCATATATCATGTGCCTTCTTGTAATTAAGCAAGATGTATAAATGTTATGCCGATAACGCGTATATCCACAATGCGTATTTGCACAGAACTATTGTCTGTTGTTTTCTAAGGTTTTCGCGAATGAAATAACAAAAATAAACCTTCAGAATGGTATCAACACGTAGCAGCTCCAGATCCAAAGAAGTGCTGCCACAGAGTACGGAGGAGATTATACTGGGAAACAAAATTGATTCAAAAGCGAAGAGGCAGAAATTAACAACGAAAGAGTCTTCCAGATATCCTAAAAAGCCTTCGGCACGCCCTAAATCTGCCCTTTCTACAAGAGGTGACGCAGGAGTTGCAGCCAAAAACAGATCTGCACAACGCCGCAGCCTGTCCACCAATACCGATAAGGGTGTGGTCAAAAAGAAGGCAAAGAAAGAAACGAAGGAAGCTGAAGAGGAAGAGAACGACGAGATAAACACTGATAACGAAGATGCCGATTTGAGCGAAGCGACCTTTGGCAGCTATGAGAAAGTGCTCATACCTGAAGTAAAGAATGAGGGGGATATAGAATACTGCGGAGGCTTTGGGACTAGCAGCAAAGATGTGGGTACATCGAATTTTGATTTCGTTCGTTTATGAAATGCAATTCAGGAAGAAGTGAAACCGGCCACTAAGACGAAGACGGGAAGGAAGTTGAACAAAAATCCAGATGAAGCAATAAGGAAGGAAGAGCTGGGAAAAGGCACTGCATTGCTTGAGATTGCATTTTTAATCTGACCATTATCTAATTGCGCAACTACATTTCCATTTTCTTTTTTGAATACTATGTGGAACGAATGCGCTGCTTTTCGTTTCAATTTGACCCATTTCAACTGTTAGGATCACTGATGTTGCCAAAGTTTCATGCGTATTTCAAAATTTTCTCTGTCGCCATCTATGTACTTGGAAGATTGCGTATCTTCGCATCTTTCGAATTAACCATTTAGAACCTGATGTCCGTCGAAGTAGGCGAAATGTAGCACGAAAGGACTACTCCGTGAAACAGGAAAGTGATGATACCTTATCGAGTTCACCGCAGTCAAGCGGCAGCGAAAATGTATCAGATGCAATGAAATCTGAGGTAATAATTAACATCGCTATAACAGTATAGTAAATAGTTTCATCGTCCGATCGTTTAGGCGAGCATTGATAATGACACTATGGAAGAATCAGATGCATCATATGACAGTGATGAGAGTTTTGAAGTGATTCCGCAGAAACGTGCCAAAAGTTCTGCAACTAGACAACAGTCTGCAAGCAAGCAGCCTACTAAAAAGAAAGTTTCAGTACGCATAAAGTATCCTTTATCAACACTTCAGCTATTTTAGAAGTGCAAGCACTATTGGCTCTTCTGCGTCACGCGCTTCTGGCGATTCTGAAAGTATATTCCTTAGTACCATAATTGGAGGTGATTCCATTTGTTTCGTACTTCAAAATTGCAGGCACAAAGAAGGCGAAGCGTGTGGCAGGTTCTTCGCTTCCACAGGCTTCAAAACTAGACAAGCCCCGGCAGGCGGGCGATTCTACCGCAGAGGGCATCGTTGTGCCGCCGAGACCGCTCAGTAAAGGGGAAAGAAAGATGATGAAGTTCAGGTGTGGTTACCATGTATAAGAGTCTCAAAATTCTTTGCTAAGTTGCAGTAAATTAATTGCAGTAGTATACATTGAACTCTACTCTTGTCTTGTTTTTGTTTTGAACTAATTGCATCTTTCCAAAAATTACGGCCTTTAGAGCCTCTCCATAGTGCGCAAGCATCTTCAGATAAGATATCCGTCTAAAGTTTGGAAGTTTCGTAGTTGTTTGAACGTGAATTCAATAACAACTCTTGTTGCTGTTGGTTGAAGTTCGAAAGTTTCCTCAAAATCAGCCACTGTAGCTGCAGTGAACCTTCGAGGATCAGAAACAAACTCATTTGCAAGACCAATTTTTCCAGGTCTTCATTAATTGATTGGCAGGCACGTCAGTCGTTCTTGCATCATCATTTTACCTTTATATAGCATGCGCATTATCTCACGGACAGCTGGATCTTCTTTTTTTAGGAAATTTGCATCAGGTCTGGCGCATGGACGAAACTTCGAATTGACCATGGAGGAAGGTTGCAAACTTATGCAGGGACTAAGGGCTCAATCCACTGCTGTTCAAGCTGCCATTTCTACTTCTTTGGCTCAAAAAGAGGCAGCGAAGGAAAGTGGTTAGTTAATTTTTGCTATAGTACGGAGCAACCTTACTTATGGTTACTCTGTGGATTTAAAGATTCTTCATCCGAAGACGAGTGGGAGGAAATGGAGCCCATAGATATCGACGAATCTGTTAAAAAGGCATGTTCTGCGTTGAAAAAAGCTGGCATTCTATTTTGATTTATGGTATGATGTCTAGGATGTTCAAGTTACGCTGGAAAAGGGTGAAGAAAAAGATTGGTGGGCAATCTTTTTACGCCAAGAAGTCAACAAGCTAATCCGAGCAAATTGGGAAAATGCACACAAGGTCAGCAACTATCGATTAATACTAAGTAAGAGATAGTAAAACTTACAATTAACTCTTTTAGGTTAACTTACTTTGCTGCATTGGTCATCTGCAGTTTCTGAGAAAAATCGTGCTGGAAGAGAATCTCATTCCTTCTTTGATGTTGACTATAGTAAGCGAATCATTCAACTTTCTGGTGTAATCAAAACGAATATTTTGTGAGTAAGCGGGTTGAGCACATTCTTCTTGAAGACTAAGCTTTATAAAAGAAGTTAACTCTGCCTATTATATGGTTATCACACAGGAACTTCTCCTTTAAAAACTTCTCCTTTAACAATTAAATTTATCAGAGCAGAATTGTTTTGAAATTCTCGCTGCGGTATTGTCGAATTATCCGGCATCTAATTATAGCCAATGACCATTATTTCAACATTCTCGCTTTTGGAGAAGCAACTGATCGGTGCATCCCCTGTCTGCTTCCAGTCGCCTGAAACATCGTTTTTACAGATGCCAACTGGCTATCAGAAACTGGTAGGGGAGCCGCTTACCATAGAAGATGTACGCAAAATCACCAAGTGGTACCACAGCGCTTTTAAAGTAAGAATTTTGAGCACGAACTGGTTTCCTGGTCTGTTGTCTTATCTCATGTTCTATTTTAGCCATCAGGTGACTCAATTAAATATGAGGCTGGTACATGTCGATTCGATGCAACTGCTCGCTTATCTGAAATGGTCTCTCAACAAGTTTTTGAAAACGATTCCGATAGAACAGTTGTAAGATTAGAGTACTCTGACAAAGATGTCGATGTCAAGAGATTTCGTTTCAGCTACTTTTTGCTATTTTCGTAGCCCTGGAATGCCTCACACGCATCTGTTACAGTATACAGCCAATTCCTCG